ATGTCATTGCTGGGAAAACAAAACAAAGGGAACAAAGACCTGCATTAAAATGTCTAGTGCGTGAACATCTGAGAACATGGGAGAAAAAATTAATAATCTCTGCTATACCAAATTTATCTGTAATGTAACAAGAGAAGAATTGTCACATGGTGCCAGAAGAATGACAGTGGTTTCTGCTCCAGAAGCACGCCTCCAATGGGATGTGATGGTTAATATTAGGTGTCAACTTGACTAGATTAAGGAATATATAGAAATGTGGTAAAGCATTATTTTGGGGTGTGTCTATGAGGATGTTTTAGAAGAGATTAATATGTGGGCCTGAGTAATCAGGGTGGGAAAGACCTGCCTTCCATATGGGTGGGCACCATCCAATCCACTGGAGGCATGGAGAGAACAAAAACAAAACAGTGAATCTCTCACTCTTTCTGCTGGAGCTGGGATACACGCTTCTCTCCTGTTCATGGACATCTGAATTCAGGACTCTTCAGATTTTGGGTTACAGGACTCACACCCGTGACACCCCCGGCTCTCAGGACTTTGGCTCTGGATTGAGAATTACACCATTGGCTTCCCTGGTGCTGAAGCTTCTGGACTTGGGCTGAGCCACACTTCTAGCATCCAGTTTGCAGATGCCTATGGTGGGACTCCTCAGCCTTAACAATCACATGAGCCAATTCCCCTAAGTCCCCTCTCACACACTTACACACTTATATACATATCCTATTGGTTCTGTCTCTCTGGAGAACCCTGACTAATACAGGGAACAACAAGGGACAAACAAGTATTTAACTGAAGCCCTTGAAGCATATCTATAAATGCTAATGACATCCTACCCTCTTCCCCCCAGTTTACAGTCTTACCTGTGTAGCTACTCTCTTTTGGTTCTAGGAATGGCTTCTTCACATTGCAATTCAGGAGCAGGAATAGTTCCCCATTGTTTCTGTTACTGGGGTACTACTGCTTTAGCTCTTTCTGGTTTCACTAAAACCCTGCCTACATCTTTATAAGTATCCCTTTAACATCTCTGAATTAGAAGTTAGCATATACCTTTTATTTCCAGTCACGACTCTGACTGATACACTTGCCATTTTTAGAATGCTAGGTAAACCTTCTGATAAGGATGTGCTCTTCTTCCATTCTTTTAAACCACTCTCCTCAACTTTGCTCATGCAGCCAGTGTCCTAATTCGTTCCCACTGAAACCTTTATCTTTAGTACCACTTCTCACATTTCAAAAAGGCAACATTCTTTTTCGGGATCTTAAAACAGAAGATAATAATTTGATTTGTTGCTTTTAAGGGATTACTAACTCTATCTGTGTTAATATCTTAATATGTTTACGTTCTTTGCCTCACAAAAGCAACTTCATGGAATCATAAGGAAATAATTAACTATACTGGAAAAGCTTTTATCATATTATAAGGATAAACGTTTATAAGTGTAAAAACATCATATATTCATCGCATGCCCAATAATAGGGAGATAAATGCTGGAATCATAAGGAAATAATTAACTATACTGGAAAAGCTTTTATCATATTATAAGGATAAACATTTATAAGTGTAAAAACATCATATATTCATCGCATGCCCAATAATAGGGAGATAAATGCCTAAGTAAATTAGAATACATCCCCTTATTGCAGTATATTAGACATAAAAAGCACTATACACTCATGTTGGTTTTGTAACAAGGAAAATGTTTATGCTTTAAAGTTAACTTTAAAAAAGCACAACACCATATAGCACATAGTAGATCCTTAGTCATCTGTTATGGACTAAATGTTCCATGGTCTTGTCTACATAGTTACTCTCTTTGGATTTTAGGAATGACTTCTTCACATTGCCCATTCAGGAGCAGGAATAGCTCCCAACTCTTACTATTGCTGGGGTACTATTGCATTAGTCCTTGCTGGTTTCCTTAAACCCTGCCTACACCTTTATAAATATCCCCTTATTAACGTCTCTCCTTTGTACCCCCTGCCACCAATCATGTGTTGATTCCTTAAATCCCAGTGTGGCTGTACTCCGAGTGTTTAAAGATGGGGCCTTTAAGAAAGTAATTAAGGTCCAATGAAGTCATAAGACTTGGTATACTGTCTCAATAGAATTGGTATCCTTATAAGAAGAAACACCAGAGCATGCTGTCTCTGTGTCTCTCTCTCTCTTTCTCTGAATCTCTCTCTCCATGTACACACAGAGAAGAAGCCATGAGAGGACACAGAAAGAAGGCAGGTATTTGCAAGCCAGGAAGACAGCCCTCAGTAGAAATCAAACATGCTGGCACCTTGATCTCAGACTTCTAGCTTCTAAAATTGTGAGAAAATAAATTTTTGTTGTTCAAAACACACAGCCTGTAGAATTTTGTTATGCAGCCCAACCAAACTGATACATATTCTCATATTTAATATCTGAAGATTAGATTATTTTTGAGTGAGTTGCAAGGTCTATAACATGTAGTAGTTTGAAATCTTCTGGAGCTACAGATCTGCATTGTGGCAGTCACGTTCAAGCAAGGCACCAAGAGAGGTGGTTACTTCCTGCTACCGTCCAGCATACATATCTCAATGCATCTTTGTTTTCTCACTGATATATGACAACAATTCTATGAGACAGATATTCTGGGCCAATTTTAACATATGCCAGAGGACATTTTATTGCATAGTTGTATTCATCGATATACCTTGGGGTATAGGGAGATCTGAGAATACATGCATTATGAATCTCTTAGAGGAGAGTCACGGAAACTGTATTTCATCCCCTCCTCCTACAAAACTAATGATAAGACAAAAAGCCAGGCAAAGAACAAAAGAGACTAAACAGAAGTACAAAATAATGAATTTATTTTGATGTAGTAAGACATTCTTTTCCTTCCCACAATCTATAATGAGTATATGTTATTGTAATTACAGTAATTTGCAAAGGGGGAAATCTTTATTAAAAAGAGATTATCAACACTTGGTAAAGTACTGCTTACTTTGCTAAACCTATTATTTCAGTTACTTTTTGGCAACCTGGCAAACCTTATAGGTTAGGCAATTATGCTGTAGATGTAAGTGAAGGAACAAAAGTGCAGAGATACTAAGTGAACTCCTGACAGTTTCATTGCTAGTTAATGTATTGCTGAGACAGAATCCGAGTTTTCTTTTAACCTCAATATTCATTTTCCACTAACTATATTGTACTTTTTTGGAACACAGGGTTCCAGGTAAAAATGAAAGCATTTAATGTATTTTCTGCCTTGACAAAAAAGTTGTTCATTATTATAAATCTTTTAATGGATGGCAAACAGCTGGTAGATTACTGAACACATATTTGAGAAAATTAGAAAGAAAAAATATAATATGAACAATTAAGTTTATCCTTTTCTGTTGCTCTTTGAATATAAAATAAGACTCCTGTGACTTGGAGAGCTCAAATAATATTTTCTTAGAATATCCATCTTAAATTAAAAATATACTCCATTATGATGACCCTTGTCATCATATTGTGTAACTTGGTTGAAATAATGGGGAAACTTTGTTGGCTGGACATTTTAAAGATATATTTTTGTCTATTTAGTAACAAGAATGGCAAGGGAGAAAATTGGAATGGGAATTACAAAACTGATGACATGTCCTTATAAGGTCTAAAAATTACACAAGTGTTTCTACAATGTTTTAGAAATTTGAGTAAGATCTTCTGTACTATTAAGATTTTGCTCACTGCAGTATGAGAATATTGACCGTGTTTACACTGTAGTTTGTAGGTGGAACAAATGAAGAAGTAGAACAGGACAAAAATTTTGAAGGCAAAAAAAGAAAAACATGGAGAAAAATTATTATTTTTATTTTGTATAAAACAGACACACAAATTTAATGTCACAAAGAGTCACTTTTAGGTCTCAAAAATACCTGGCCCCATATTGAGTAAACCTAAACTTTGGCACCAGGTGATATAAAGGAAAGAGCTCCTTATCATTATGAATCTGGGATATGTGTTGTTGGTACTGATGCTGTTTTACCTAGCTTATCTCTAACTGGTTGTATAAAATTGAAAATATTCATTTGTCAAGTTAGAATAAGGGTGACAGAGGGTCACCTCATAGGGTTCTTGTGAGGTTGGAGGAAATAATAATGTGAAAGCTGGTGAAAGATAAAAGTCATTATATACACGTAAGTCTTAGCATTGACATTACTATTTTTATGATTATTTGGCATGCTAGCTTCCTTGGCTGGGAGTGCTGCCTGCAGAAATTCCTC